TTTTGCTGATATTTCAATGAATTTTAGATTTTGATTGGGGTCCAGATTCCGATGATATTATCATGAAGAAAAATTTTTTAATTTATAATCATAAAAAAAGTTAAAAATGGAAACGCTGATTGCTGTTTGGTTCATTTAATCAAAATTCATTTCAAATAATTATTGTATATTGTTGTGAATTCAGATATCTCGGCAATCTTTATGTGGCATCTGAAGCGGAAAAAGCATATCAAGGATTACTCATGAAATTAGGCGAAGAACTTCATCATTTAAGCAATAGTTTGCTGCGTATTTTTCATAGCTTAAATAACAGTGAACTGAATCCATTGCTACGCGAACTTTTCGATCTCTCGCAAACATAAATGAGAAATGTTCATGTGGTTTTTTTTTTTCGTCATTTTGAGTAGTTGAATTTTTGTTGTTTGCCAATTCATGAATTAATAGCATTTAAGTTGAAATGGAAGTGAACATTATAATGTTTTTTTTTTTTTTTTTAGCCTTTTATTGATAAATTTTACGCTTCTTTTTACATACTTTCAAATTGTTACTGATATCAGTATTAGAATTCTACGCTAGAATGAATGATTAGAAGCAATAGTGCTACCAATAAGCAAAAAATGTTTCTAAAAAGTTGAAATTTAGTAAGTTCCATGATTGACAAGGGTAAGTAGTGGAAAGGAGTGAATGCAATGCAAGCAGAATAATAATAATAATCCGTTTTTACTAAAGTTTCTACTAGGATGATCAGCAACCTTGCCTTAGCAAATAACAAAACTAATTTGATCCCAAACTTCTCTGATAAATCGGAGATTTGAGATTAAAAAAAAAATTAGCATCATAAATCACTCTATGAATACTCCGACACAGTACTGAGAATTATGAAGTACAACATTAAAGTACCATGCATTCGTCTTAAGCGTTATAGCAACAATCACATTTTGTTAGGAAGCTTCTCTCAAGCATTACTGGAAAAAATAATTAAGGAATCTAGGAGTATTCAAAATTGACACAATATTATGAAACATTTACTTGATAATTACTAAACTTTGACAATCGCCTTGTTCTATTGGAATGGATCTGCACGCAATCACCATAATTAACCGAAATTGAATGAACATTATGCTGAATTTATGCCAATATCACAATTAAACAACTTTTTTCTTTCCCAGAACTTGCACTCTTAGACTACGCTGTCGGTAACTCCAATTAAATGTATAGCAATCTAAGTGCTTAAATTTGATCTTTCAGACCAAAAAATCAAAAGTGCGTACGCAGATATAGATAAATTAAAGATGATCTATTTTTTTAAGCGAATATAACGGATCAAATCGATCCGGTCAAACTAAATATTTACCAATGTACCATGTAAATTTCTTCAATGGGGAAAAATCATAAAAGATGAAGCAAAACTATTGCATATATAAATTACTCACTGAGCAGGTTCTAGCAACACAATTTTATCAAAAAAAAAAAAAGATGCAATTCTTCCCAAGAACAGTGTCGAAGCAATCAAACAATCATTAAAACGGCATTTCAAAAACACTTAACAGTGTATGTTGGCAATGCTTCCTTTTCCTCCTCTTCCTTGCCCTTTTTCTTCCGAAAATTTTACGAAATTAAACTATTAAGCATCCACTAATTGCTTTTTTGGTCTAGTATGAAAATCAGTTAAATCTTTTGTAAAGCAAAATTATATCCTTCGAAAAATTGAAAAAAAGGGCAAGATAACACCGAATATTTGAAACCGGTTAGAGAATATGGTCATAACAATTATAATAGGATCTACAATAATGAAAAGGAGGCATAGACAAGATAAGATGCTAATCCATCCTTTTATTAGTAAGATTTTAAACCCAAATAAAAAAAATTGAAACCCTGGCTCAAAATTTTTGACACTCCACATTTCATGGTTACACCTCAGCATCCCTTCCGCACCTTCCTATTTATTTCTTTTTTATTCTCATTTCTTTCATAAAATTCCCTTCCTTTTTTCATTTCTTTATCTCTTCCTCTTGTTAGACGGTACACTACTGCTTCATTGGCTAAGGATCCCGATTAAAGGTATAATCATTGAGGAACCATATATAATCCCTGGCCCAAAATAAGCCATAAAAAAGTGTTTGTTTTTGTGATTGACAGAACGATAAGGGCGATTAAAATGAGAGTATAAAACACTTTCATCATTATCATCAGCAACAGAAACAGCGCAGCAACAACAATCGTAAATAGTGGGTAGTAGTAGTAGTAGTAGAAAGCAGTAGCAATACGAAAATAACACATAATATATACTCCTATCCTTCAACTTTCTGGATATTAAATTTAAAATAAAACTTCCCGATATATTTAACTTTTAGCTGGGAAGAAATAGGGTAGAGTAAAATAAAGTAATAAAACACAAAACAGCGCAACATAATGATATACTTACAGGAAAGAATGAGAAAAAACATACAATGAATTATAGCATAACTTTAAAAGCAACAATAATTCACAAAAAATGAACAGGGGCACCCTACGGAGAAGACATTGAGACATACGTATGGATCAGATATAATGAAAATAAAAAGTACATAAAAGAGGAAGCAAGTTGGTTTTCTAGAAAAAATTTGAGCAAGGGGCCTAGGGGCAGTTCAAGCTAACCACACACAATTCTCGTTCCTGATTATTATCGGTACCATCAAAATGAAACAAACTCCTTATCAATGATGATGAATTTCTTAGAATCTGTTTGAACTTTTAGCATAAAATCAAAATAAAATTATCTTTGCATTTTCTGATCCTTCTTATTATATTGTGGATTTAGGAAGCGATGAGTTCTTTACAGCTAATAAATTTACTAGAGAAAAGAACACGAATGATTCAGGTGAACAATTAGCTCTCCATAGCATCACGCACTGAAAAATCATACCAATTAAACAGTGTAAATAACGATACTTTCAACGGCATGATTTTCAGAATGGCTGTATTCAACTGAATACCGTCAAAGACGAGCTAACTGCTAAGTTGATTAGACGGCACAGTTTAAATGCAACTTAAATTTATTCTGAGTTGTACTCCTGTCTGTCCGGCTTGCCGTTATGCAATCATCTGGAAACATATTGCACGGCAATAATGGATTATTCCGTAATTCCGTTATGTTACTAAAAGATAAGAAGTGTTTACGACGGCCATTTCCCCACATAAATTGCTCTATAACAGTATCAAAAACCAAAAATCACTTACTTTGTTGTTGCATAAGATTATGCGGATGAACATTAGGTTGTTGGGTCTGAACACGTGCCGAAGGTGCTTGATAGGGGTCGACACCAGAAATATTCAAGCTAACTGAATTTGGTATCACACTTGGAGGAGGTTGGTGCATCATCGGCGGCATACTGCTTTTACTCCACATCTACAGTTAACCGCACACTTTACTATGGAAATGTCAAATGTCTATCTAAGCATGACTATCCTTCAACAGTTTACTTAACAGATATATTGGGTGGTTTAATGATCTCCTTCCGGGTTCTCTGTGTAAAAGTGCTTAAATTCCGTCATTATTCCCAAAGATACTCAGCCAGTGTGTAAATCTCGTAATTTCTTATTCTAATCCGAACCATTTCGAGTTACTTCCTTAAATCTAATATAGTTGGACTCTCATTCAATTTAGCAGTAATCCAAAACTTCACTTGCAACATAAGTGCACACTCATCAGCTTTTTATGAAATACAAAGTAAAACCTGTGTTTTCGACGAAACTACTGCAATGTAGTTTACCAATTCGCGCAAAGGAAGCGCCTTAAAACTTGGCAGATTATTTCTCATCATATATTCGTTTGTGTATTCCTTCAAGTTTTCACTGCAAATAAAAAAATGTTGCCAATAATAGTTTTTTATTGCTACAGCCAAATAGTAATTCAGGGCTGCCAACTTGATGTTCTGTACTGTATGGATTTTATACATGAAAAGCTCCATCGAATGATTTGCATGAATTGGAAAAAAAGATCTAAAAAACTTGGAAATGAAACCAAGAGATCTTTCAGATGAAGTAAGAACAGAGAATTCTTTAACTTACGGAGCAACGTGTGGAAAATGGTTTCTTAGAGTATCCAGCAAACTATCACGTCGAGGAGACGAACTTCGACTGCTCGCCACTAGTGCACTCTAAATATTGTCAACAAAAAAGATAAAATTTAAAATTCTCGCCACTAGTGCACTCTAAATATTGTCAACAAAAAAAGATAAAATTTTAAATTAATGTTTGAAGGAGACGGATAATTTGATGAGACAAGATAACAGTAAACCGTACAGTGACATCAGAGGTGTTCGAAGAAGGGGTGTGGTAACCAGTCCAACTAGGCCATTGCTGTGATTGATAACCACTTCCTTGATGCTGCAAATGGTTATAATGACTTGATTGGCTCGATATTATACTGTTACTGTTGCTTCCAGCTGAAAATTTCATAAAAATATGAACTGGAGAAACCAGGTATTTCATTTACAAACAAAAGTATCGTTAATTCAAAAACTTACAGGATAACGTATTAAGCCATTCGCCCCCGCTTCCATTACTCCAGCCATTCGACTGCGATGAGAAATGGCTACTCGTATTAGTAATACCAGGTGGTGGATGAGAAAGCTGTAAACACTGGTTATAAGGTTAATAACACACAAACAACAATGTTCGGAAAATCTAAGAAATTAACTAAACCTGAGAAGAACTTCCACCGGTGCTGATACCATAATCAGTACCGATGGGTCCGAATGAACGACTAGGATTGAGCAGTTCGCTGATCGAATTCATAGCAAGCGGACCATCCCAGCTGGAACTCCAAGCACTCGGTAATGATAATCCGGAAGTTGACGACGTACTGGAAGTTGCCTGCGTGGTACTGCACGAACTGACTGTCGTGGTATGACTGCTAGCATATTCTATCACTGAACCCGTATGACTAGTAGGTCGAACGCCTGAAAAATAATCGAAGGTTCACTTAAATTACAACAAGCATTAATTTGATTAGGATGAAATCTAAAAATTACAGTTCTACAAGTAGAATTTTCAAAGCATACATTAAGCAAATTATAGTTTATGAAAACCAAAATAAAATTTATAAAATTTACAATCTTTTAAATTTTACTTCAACTTCAAATAGTATTTCGTTCCCTTAACTTCCTCACAAAGCGTATGTAAAGCGAACTAAAACACAAACCGATCGGTGCTATTGACGTAGTAGTGCCAGTAGGAGACTTCATAGGAGATGAAGGAGGAGCAGGAGCTTTCGACATTGTCTGCATCGGTGCACCCGGTGCGACATTACCAGACGTTAATGAAGAATCTAAAAAATTTCAAAATGCAACAAGCGTTAATTTGATTTGGATGAAATCTAAAAAGTACAGTCATACAAGCGAAAATTTTCAAAGCATACGCTAAGCAAATTACAATCTACGAAAACTGAAATAAAATTTACATTCTTTTTAATTTTAACTGCTTCAATTTCAAGTAGGATTTTGAAATGGAAGCAGTTGAAATCAAAAAGTATTTGCCATCCTCTTCTTCCTCTTTTTTTTAAATTTGCCATTATCTTAACAAATAATTCCAGTAACAAGGGAAACTACTAAAAACTTACTGATAATTATACCAGTCGCAGGAGACCGATTACCAATTACTCCCACAGACGGTACAGCAGGTGTCACAGCTTTTTCAGGAATAGCGGGTGATACTTGAAGTGCAAACTGTCCTAATTTGAGTTTTGGTGCAGGCGGAGGTTTTGGTACACTAATTTTTGGCAACTGAGCAATTGTTTTACCAGCTTTGATTTGTTCAATCTAAAAAATAGCATCTGTCCACATGATGGAAACAACAAAGTTTCAGCTATCGATATAAAAAATTATTTCCTGTGGAACCACGTTAAATTTTCAAGCGATTTTTTTCTCTCTCGAACAAGCGAGTTTTCATGAAAACTCTGGAAATTTGTAGATCCCGTAAACTTTGCATAATTTGCAATTTTTAACAAACTGGCTACATCAAAAATTCCGGCGAAGCGCGTTATATCGTAATTCTAACAACTTACCTGCGCAGCGAATTCGGCTTTTGCAGTGGTAATAAGACTGGCCACCTCTTCTCGTTTAGCCCTCCATTCGGAAGCCGCTACCTTCAGTTCCTCCACCGCAATAGGATTCCTTGCCCTAAAATTTATTCATAATATATTCTAAACCAAAATAAAAAGTAACTTATTCACATTATGTTACCAAACTAGGAACTCCTCTCATAGCGACTGATAAAAGATAACTGTTATATAGTCATCAAACAAAATTAAATAAAATGACGCACTTCTTCGACTCAATTTCCAAATCCTTCACTCTCTGCCCAGCATCTTTATGGGCTCTTTCAAGTACAGCAATGCCTGTCTCAAGCTTATGCTCCAGCAGTGAAACTTCGGCTTTCTTTGCACGTTCAGTCAAAAAAGCTATATTACTTTGGAACGTCTTACGTTCCTGAAAATATTATATAGACCAAATTATTCTAATATATCTCAAAAAGTAAGCAGTGATTTTGAATGTACAGAAATATAACTCTTTTCTTTCTTTAGAAAATCAAAAATGACTTTAAAGTTATCTGCTTCATGATGAATTCCTTTCTTAGCACTCACCGAACACAACACATTTTCAGAACGTTTCAGTGCAATCGACCGCTCATTGAGCTGATTTTTTAATTCACTGATTTCAGTATCACGTCCTTTGATTTCTTCGGTCATATTTTTTCGAGTATCCTGGCTAGACTGCAATTCTCTCTGCAGCTTCCTTAATTCTTCTGCATGTTTCTGTCGAAGCTCTTGCAATTCGCGTACCAAACACTCATTTTTCTCTTGTAATTCTCGTGATCGTTCAGAATCCCTCCTACAATTAAATGATGTTTAACATGAGTCTATTCAGTTGACAAAAAATTGATCAAAAATAAAGGAAACATTTTCGATAGGTGGTGCTGTATTGGATGCCTCATTATGAAGCTGGTAAGGAAATGATCTGATTCCTTTTTGAAATACCATATCATGGCCTATTGGCGAAGTGAACTTTCAAAAGAGACGATTGCATCTTCAAAGTAAACCATACAAAGTAAGTCTCAGACAGCTGGGTCAATTCCAGACTGCATATCTGTAATGTCTATGGCTGCAGTACATCGCTCAGGATCTCTGGCATCATTTTGGCCTATGACAAGCTAGTATAAATTACCCTAAACTCACACAATTCAAATCAACTTACTCATGTTGCTTGGCACTTTTTTCAAGCTTCTTTAATTCGTTCTTCTTCTGATTTAGTTGCTGGATTGTCTTCTCATGTTTTTCTTTCTCGGACTGCAACTGTGCCTGCACCTGTTTCGTTGTATTTGCATGTTTCTGCTCTTGTCTGCAGAAAGTAATATAGTAAAGAAAAATTTTAGGTCAAGCACTTTTCTTTTTTCTTCTCCCAACCTTTTCAAGATAACTTTTCCTCACAGTAAAAACAAAAAATTATAATTAGAAAGATGTGTTAAAAACAAATCTCAAGCTTACTTCTTATTTTTTTCTTTCTCGGCAGTAAGTTGGCGCGACAAGGTTTCTTTATCACTTTCAAGTAACGCAATACGTTGGGCAATTTTCTCCGTATGCTCGTTCAATCTTCAAATACGTGTATATTGATTAAAATAAGCTGCTATATTAATTACATAAAGTACTTACGCATATCATAAAAAATTACTTCTGCATATAAGTAAAAAAAAAAACTTACTTTTCGGCTTGACCAACTTCCATCAGTGGGTTTTTACTCACTGCCTGATCAGCAAAAATACCAATGCGATGCACTTCGCGATTCAACATATAGTCATGCTGGTCATCTGGACAGTCAGACATCAAGGAACTGAAGTCATCTGCATCATCAACCAAAGGCGCTGTTAAATGATGCTCATCCAGTGAAGAGCAGTCAAGATCTGAAATATGTCCAGAATGTATTATTTGATCAAGCGTTGGAGATTACCATACTACAATCATGATAGGTTTTAAACATGCAGCAGTTGCTTTGTTTCACACGCTGCCAGTAACTTGTCTCTGTTTTTGTTACTTTTATCTTCTCTCTTACCTCTACGTCCATCTTTGATTGCTTCGATAACTTTCTCATCTCCAGCTAGAATTGCCAGTTTTTGCAGACAACCTTTGAGGAAGGGACTTTTCGAACGCATTTCCAATGTATTAATAAATTCAGCGGCCTTATCAACCACACGTTTAGCATTCACACAATTAACACCAATCACTGACAGCGCTGCCATAACTTGCTGAACCTTAAACGACAATGAAACTGACGAAGAATTCGAACTATAAATAAACATTTCACATGCAAATTTCAATGAATATAAATCCTGATAAACATATTTTATAATTTTCTTTGAAGCTAAAAGTGACCTGTGCATCTGTGAAATGAGGAATATTGCCGGCAGCAAAATCCAAACTATTTTCATCGCCAGCTGCAGGTGGATTCTGAAAAAGATTTACATTTTCTTGACACAAAAGGAAAAAGAAAATGAAATAAAAATAATACAACAAACCTCTCCGTTTTTCATGTATTTCCAGCAGTATTTGATGTTGAATTTAAGCCATTCTTCAATATATTGTCGTGACCAAATATTCGGTTGTGTCGAATCATCCATGTATTGTTGCACCTAAATCAATTTTTACAAATTACCAACGAGAAATATACTATCCCCACATAATAGTTACATTACACTTAGTCACTGGAGAAATTGAAGTTAGCTAGTACAAATATTATTAATTAAAACCTGCGGATTTGCCAAGTCGTCTCCAATAATTTGCTGTGAATGATAAATTGGAAAGACCGGAAATGTCTGCAATCGTGAAAATAATTATTTGTGGATCTAAATGAACTCATTTGTAATAAATATTTTCAATTTGATAAAACATACTTTTGGATCCGCGTTCGCAAATTGTGATGTGAAGCGCGCTATGCTTTCTTTCTGCATTTCCACAGCTTCTTCCGTCCTATTATCCGTTTGGGTCTTTAACTGCTGCAATTGACGGAACAAGTGTGTCTTAATTCGAAGTTAGTTAATTAATTTATAATAGCAAAAAATAAATAATAAGAGCTGTCACTAGTAATCATAACTTCAAAAAAAAAACCTCATCTTGTTTTTTTCTAGAATCCATATCTTTGAACTCGTTCGGCTTCTTTCGACGCCACTCTAGAATTTTATATATCATTTCATACTCTTACAGGCAGAAGTACTTAAGAGATTTTCATAGTATGTTCGCATGCTTAGTCTAAGTGGAAGCAGCATATTGTCATAATTATACTAATACATGATATAAAATTCTAGGCATTTCAGAGAACAAGATTTTCACATTACTATGAAAAACGCATCATGTCATGCTTTTGCATAACCGCTGAAATAATCGACAAATTTCACGAAAAAAAAAGGAAAGAGATACTTACCGTTGTTGGGCACGGTTTTCTTTGCTGTCTGTTTCTTTGGCTGTGCGTATGGCCGGTTTGGATTTGGGTTTGTCATAACCGTGTGTGCATTTACTATGGCTGCATCTGCTTTGGGCATCAGCACGGAAACTTAAGGCATCTCATTAAAATTCAGTTTGGGACTTTGACACATTGAGGATAGAAAGAAGTGGAAACAAAACAAAATAGATCTTAACATTCCGGATCGAAAAAAAAACCTACAGTGAACTTCCTGTCTTCACGCACAGAGATTATACTCCTTATTAGTCTACAAATATAAAACTATTTCGGTGTTAAATTAGCTGGTTATTTTAATCAGAAAAGCAAACTGAAAAAACAAAACGTCCTCGCAGTCACCTCATAATACAGCAACAAAACGTGATGGAATGCTCTGCGCATATCGGTATACCAACAACACTACGAGATGAAACGAAACATTAACCGAATCTTTTCAACTATTAATGAAATTATCTAATTTAGATGAAAATATAGCCTCAAAACAGTGTAAAAAATTACAGTCAGTCTGACACGAAGCCTCTTCTGTGTTAAGAGAAGCAGGCTCAAGCATAGCCTGAATACAGCTATCACAATCATCGCGCACTACTGTACCATCACTTTGAAGTGAACGCTTCATCTTTTTAGAACAAGGAACTCCACCCACAGTGCGACCATTATTTCCTTCAGCCTAAACAATATTTAAATGCTAGAATCAAGCCAATATCTACGTGTAAAGTCAACACTACCACAAAATCTTCAGGTAATAACTTCTATTCAAACAGACCTTAGTGTAGCAAATTTAATGAGAAAAATTCATCTACTCTTTAAAGTTCAAAAAATTACTTCGCTATCCGAAACTCCATTCGACGAGCTCATTTCTTCATCGCTAGAGCATTCCACAACATGTTGCTCTTTCTGTTCTTGGCATAATTCCCATGGCTGACCATGCCCGCTCACATCATATGCGCAATCCAGAACCGGCACAACTGGCTCCTGTGTCTCAGTTTTCTAAAATTAAATTATGCAAATTGTAACAGTTAGAACACACACTGAAGTTGAATCATAGAATGCTTTAAATAAAGGAGTTAAAACCATTACTTGATGAAAGGCTATCCGGAGAGATTTATACATATATATTACAAAAACAGTCAGTAAAAAAATGAAAACAATTAAGAATCCCGTAGGCAATTAAAAAAGGACAACGACAGCACGAGCACAATTGCCTCACCATTTCTTCGAGAATGTTAAACAAGTAACATTACAATTCCCTGGATTGAAAATGTTCATGAATTTAACACACCTGTGAATCTACTTGCAACATATCTCCATCTTCGGCCATTTTAGCTCCTAAAGCAAATACATCGTTTTCTAAGTAATCAGTATTGACAACCATTTCTTTCTTCTCAGCTTCCGGTTTTTCATTCAATCTGAAATATCAAAAATCTGTCAAAGCTATGTTCTGCATTGAATTATTTGCTATTAGTTGAATTTTATGAACAATTTATTAGATGTGACCATATGTTATGTTTTCATAAATATATAGTACCAAATTTACCTTTCGCAAGTGGTCTTCTTGTCATCAATTTTTGCTTCCTTTCCTTCACTGCCGAAAACGGCTACATCAACCTGCTTTGGTAGTTTTTCCTGTCTCTGCAATTACTACAATGTACTATTTTCATCAAAACACAAAACACTTTCTTAAAATATCCACTACTTAAAATGATGAAGTATTACCGAATCATTTCGCCCTTCCTCTTGTTTTCCATTATCGGAAAGCCATTTCATTTCACGAGCTGCATTCAGCAGTACTTCATTTGGAGTTTCTAGAAACAAGGTTAACAATAATAAAATTTAATGCTTTCAGACGATGGAATATGTTTTGGTAAACATGTGAATATTGGAGTTCTGAGATCATCCCAAAGCTCAATTTACAGGTGAAAAGAAACCTTGCACATTGCAGGCGTTCTTGTCGTTTTGCAGCACTGGACGAGTTTCAGCAACATTTGATTCCGCGGCTTGTCTTGTTTCCAATGTTTTATTTAGAGGTGAAATTGCTGTTCTAAAAATATATTCTTTCTTTTTTAATTTTTGAGATCGTTCTTAGCCAATTTTTTGAAAGATAACAAAAAAAGCATGAATGAACGATTAAGCACACCTTTTTGTGATTGAACATATTTCTAACCATAATTTACAAAAAAAGCAACGCCATATTTATACCCATAATTTACAAAAAAAAAAAGAAAAAGAGAAGAAACCTGTTATGAACATTAACAGTTCTTTCCGTATTTGTTTCACGAGATTTATTATTGGAATTCGATTTCGATGATTTATTCATATTGGATTGTTTATTAATTGTGGCAGTACCTGATATAGCTTGTTTCAAAGCACTCTGATTAAGCGAATTTTCCTCATCACCTTTACCAAGCGGAGGTCCTAAAAAACAAAGCTGTCATCAGGATAAAAAGAAATCCTGCCCATGTAGACGATGCAAATTTAAATTGAGAAAATTGCAAGATTTTTTTTGGCAGCTACGAATATTAAACCATCAAACATAACATGACAACCTTTTTCAATCCTTTCAATACTTTGCTTCAGCTTCATCTCAATCAGCTTCGCTTTCTGAGCCTCGAGATCGGCTTTGCAATCTTGATCACGATCTTTACAAAATTTCAAAGCGCTCATATTGACTTCGATAGCTTTGTCAATGAGTCCTCTACTACTTTGTATGTCAGCTAACCTCATATAATCTTGAATTTTCTTCTCGAATTGCTCATGAGTTCTGAAAAGTGTGTTTAAACATAATACTGAAAACATAAACTCCCTCTTACATCATTAAAAAGAAAAGAAAATAGCGTGTAAACAAAAAATACAACGAAAGTCTCTTACAGGATATTTTTTGGAGGTTCAGCTTTAACAGATACTTCCAAAATTACTTTGTCATCTTTGATATAACCTTGACTTTCATCTAATATATCCTAAAAATGTTAAACATATGAGAATATGAGAAATTAAGAATTATTTGTCAAAAAGATTTTCTTACCAGCGGTACGTAAAGTCACTTTCATTTTCCCAAAAAATAATGCAAATTAAACTTACAGCCCATGTCATGAAGCATGAGTATCCCCAATCATTTTCCTTCGCTGTATAAACATGGTTAGTTTTCCTTGTAAAGTGTGGTACGCCTTGCTTCTGTGAAATCAGCCGTAATTCTGCTGCGGCTTGGCATGACCATGAACTGGAAAAACGGATATTATAGATAGATGTGACAGAAAACACATATTCTTTTAGCTCAATTTCGCAACGATATCATAAATACATAAATGTATAAATGTACATCTCTTTGAAAAAAAAAAAAACCATGAGCCAACGCATAGACAAGAGATTCCTGCTTTTTATTCTACCGATAGAAAACAATGTAACGGTAACTTACTCAGAATAAGCATCCGGACAACACTGCAGGAAAAATCCCAAACACTTTTGCGTGCCTTTCTTTTGTACAACATGCTGTCGGGGCATCACCATTATTCGCCTGAAAACAAAATGAAATGAATTACAAACATCTATCAATGAAAACATGACTATTTATTGATATTGTCGCTCATGCCAATGGCAATGATCACTCAGGATTACTCTCTGCAACTTTCTAACCTCCTATGTTTGTAATATTTAACAAACTGTTACGGATTCTGAAATCCATGCACTAACCAAGGAACAGTTTGTATCTTTTTACTTGGCCCTCTTACAGTATCTGCCATATTGGTGAAATTTTGAATCATCAACCGCAATGTTCCATCAGATGAAGTGCTTGATGTAGGAGAGCTAGCATCAATACTCGATGACGCCACCGTACCTGGAACGCTTAATATGCACTTCACGAAATTAAGACACTCCAGGAGATGGAACCAATGGATAAACTGAAAGGAAGACTAAGGTATGAGACTGCCTGAATTCAAGCGAAGTTGAAAGGAATTGAATTCCTGACGATATCACAGAGAATATCATTTGCTTAACAGATTTCTCTTGCATAATATGAAATTAAAAGAAAAACCATATGAACTACCTCAACTGATCCTAATCAGAAAGCAGTACTAAAGGATTTGCAATATGAGCCTCCTGAAAGCTGTTCAACTTACAAATACGCCAAACATGGAGTACTGGACATGCAAAAGTTCTCATAATTAGGAGAGAAATTACTGAATAATAAACCAAACCTTTATTTGCATTAGGTTGCGAAACAGCAGTTCGAGAACACTGTGTGATCTTTGGGAATGTTTCTTCATCGGGATCCGTTTGACAAGCAACATTAATCTTGGCCTTCCTGAAATATGAAACATCAGAGGACAAGAATCTAACGCAAAATTTTGCATTTGACTTCATATTCCCATTATTTTTTTCGTCCTTTCCCTGTTTTACACTTTTGCATATATGCTACCGTTTTTCGCTTGTACTTCATATATTCACCTCACATTATCTTTGAAGCCTTTGCCCTTTCCTTACATAAATATTCCCACTGTTCGTGTATACATTCTTTTATTTACACAATTATGCTTTTTTTTATAAACAGTAAATAAACTGCCATTATCATTAGGCTAAATGTATTTTGACGAGACAATATACAATTTACTAAGACGAAAAAAACGTGAAGCACAACGAAAGGCAAACCTCACACCACTCTGATGTACCGAACATAAATTCCCCCTTCTTTCTCCAGCTACAGCTGACGACTTCACAATTTCATGGCAATCATTCACCTTCCTAGAAGAAGGTGACCTTGAAACTACTGCTGGACCCAAATCCATTTCACCTGAAACATCCTGATAATTTTTATCTTTGTAGTGTAAGTGGTAATCTAGCAAATGTGCAAGAAAATTAAATACCACAACAGTACAGCAATCTATCACATATCGGAATTGGTACTCACAACGCGGGTAGTCTCTGCAAGCTTCGACAAATGTAACCCTCGCGCCTCCCACCTGCCCTGCTTGTCCGTCTGTCCGACGATGATATATATTCTCTTTCGTGCCCTAACTCATTGGACTGTACATCTTTAAATGTTGAGGTGCCATAACATCGGAGATACACAAGTCTAGCAAATATTCATCGTACTAACTGACCTACTGACCAAGTGTTTACATCTTTTTACTATTCTAATAAACCCTGCCCTCCACTGACAACGAATATGGTTCATTTTATCTCTACTGCCTAATATACTGCCAAGCACTGTTTACAAAGCTTCCATCCTCTCGAAAAGGTTTACGGAAGAGTTATAAGTTACTCACTTATTTATGCCGTGATGGTACCATATAACTATCACCGGCAGTACATTTTCTAGAAAAACTTTTCGAATGCCCTGGAACGCATATCACAACGTACTGAAACGTAGAAACGGTACTTAATACCTTCACTACTCCAATATTCATCCGACAGTAATCGATAACGCAAATGAAATAGAAGACTCTACGCAAGAACGAAAAAATCATATCCTTCTAAATTTTTATTTTAAGTATAATGAGAAGAGAGTAAAATGCTACAAAATATGACGTAAATGAAAACTACGACATGAACTTCGCCAATATAGTGATTTCTTTCGATGAAGCAAATTTACAAAAGGTAATCCATACTTAAAAAAGTTATTGCGGTGAAGATTTCCGAAACACAGAACTTTTTGAGTTAGCAAATATCATCGACACAAGTGTACCTGTAGACGATAACGTTTCGTGTGAAGCTTAAAAGCATTCGTCAATTGAGATAAATTTCAAAATGTTCTGGGACAACGACAAATACTGATAAAAAAGAGTGAAAATCGTACATAGTATGGGAAAAAAGGATGAAAAGTAGTACGAAAGTAATACTCAAGTAACAAACGAGAAATCGATCTAACTGTCCTGTAATGATGAATAACTAACATTTATCTATAACAACGGCGCAACCCTATTACAATGAGTCTCATCATAAAACCTATCCTAATTAAGTGGAATGGACTAAGGATATAATTTAAGTGGTAATTTAAAACATTATGACGAACTACTAATGTAACTAAATCAGCAGGCGGAAGTACAAACCCACCTCATTCTTGAAACTTAAAAAAACGACACATAGTTGCAACATAAACTAGAAAGAATTCCGTGGGAGAAAAAAAACTTACACTTAATCCTATATGTTGAAGCATCTGCTGGTACACCTTCATCAGTTTTCCTAATAGTAGTGGTAGGAGTAGTTGCAGTAATAGTAGTACTATTAGTGTTAGTAGTAGTAGTGATGGTAGTGGTAGTAGTCGTAGTCGTAGTAGTAATAGTAGCAGCAGTAGATTTGTCATCCAATTCTCCATTCATTGAAGACCTTTGCGGATAAACAGATCCGACGCTGCTACTTCCATCACCACTAGCTATTCGATAATCAGGTACTATACCTGTGATATCACCTGATGCACCTACGGCATTCAAATAACACGATTCACCGTTGCTATCATTATCAGCAATCGGTCCAACTGGTCGTCGTGGATCACTCAGTATCGCGGTTGCATCGTTAGATAAGACATCAGCAGAGGAGTTTCCGTTTGCGCGATCACCATCACATGTACTACTTGCGCTACTCGACTCGTTGTTTTCGTTCATACTCGGCGGAGAGCTGCTACCAGCTGCTACCTCGAGTGTCACTTGATTCGCCATTAGAGTTTTCCGTTTTTTTATTTTTTCAAAATTTTAAATCCTGTATTTACAACTCAATTTTAAATCCTGTATACAACAACGCATACTTTCTATAGTCGTCAAACTTGCCGAACGTTATGTCGTCTCAGCATACAACATTGCAACAGTAAACACTTCTTTCGCTTTATATACCTACATAATACAAATACAGCTGATTTCGGTTCGAATCTTCCAATATTTTTACCCATAGGCCTAAGACGTCTCAGTATTTTTTCAAAATCACTAAAAAAAAGCAAAACTAAAAAACAACATACAAAGAGAAGCAAAGACAGTGTAGACATATGCATTTATTATCTATTTTCATTACTTTCCTTCGAAACTGATTTTATAGAACCTACGTGTTGCTCAACAACTTACAAACACACTTGGAAAATCTGTACAGTGATAAATTTATTACTATTCCTTCCGATCTTTCTCCCTCTACAATTTGGAAAATTCTCTTCCTTCCGCTCATCACAATCCATATCTGCCTAGCTATCAACAGTTAAGAAGTATTTGATATATTAATCTATTCGTGGAGACAGAACCATCCCCACTGCACCTCCATCTCCAACTTTTCACCTTTTTAACATTAATAACTTTACCAGACTGAAATATCTGTTAGAAGCTAAGATCTACTTGATATGCTTTATGTATGGCACCATTCTTGCTTTACTCTTCTCACAATCCAATCTCAAAATGTATTAATCTACCGACTGCAAATTACTGATCAGTTCGTTGCTGTTCAGCCAAAACAAACATACAAACCAAGACGACGAAGAGATACGTCGCTGCAGCATATAGACAATAATCATTCCAACTTTCTCATATTTTACTATCCCTTCCCCATTATACCACGATAATCCGCCAAACTGAATGTCTTTTTTTTTTTTTGCAAAACGCTTGGGAAAAAAAAAGATTCAAATTCTTGTCCTTCCAGAAAAAAAAAAACTCCAAACTTACTATCAAAATGCCTAATATTTGAAAGGAAGAAAAGAGAAACGGCAAAACTTTATGCATCTAAACGTACAGATGACGTGTAAACATGAACATTATTTGCTATTACTATATGATTTTGCACATGTTCATTAAACAGATTATTTGGAATTCGATCTATATCAGTTGATTGAAATGAAAAATTAAGTGAAATAAACAATTGGAAAAAAGAAGAATCTGAAAACAGAAAACCCTAAATTGCATAATCAAATTCCGTCGTCACTATTATTGTACGAATCGATAAATCGATCAAACGCACAGCGGGAACAATATCAACCCGAGACAACAGCATCCATTTGCAGCACCATTCTGCAAACGTATTTCGCTCATTTTTCTTGACACATTGTTGGATCACGATGATTTTATCATTCTATGAAATTTTCCCCTTCCTTCATTTTTTCGATTTGTTTATGATATTTTATACACCGGATTTTTTAGAATCAATTTAATGAATTGTGATTAATCTTTCATTTCTATTGATATAATTGTTACATTAATATGTAATAATGATCTGTGAAATTTTCTCCTTCCTACATTCTTCGATTATTCGGGAGATTTCGATGATATGATTATGATGTTTTATACTGGCTTTGCGTAATATTTCAAAGCTAAAGTTAAAGTTAACAGGAAAAAGATTAATTATGATTAACAACTATTAGCTATAGAAAAAGATAAGAGATGTATGTAGAAAATGATCACTTTTATTATCGAAATGAAATATGTATGTAAGAAATGATCATTTTTCTTATCGAAGTGAAATGTTGGATTATTTATTTTTTATGTTTTTCGAATTATAAATTATCCAAGTATACTTGTAATATCACGGAGACCTTCTTCTGTTGTGATGAAGCGCATCGAATTCCGATAAAATTATGTTGAACAAATCTATTTCAATGCCGCTATATATTATTCACTGATTCCCGCTACTAAAATTGCTTGTGGTAGCAAAATTCCTGACCATTCCAAAGTTGTTAATGGTCAGTTTATGTGAAATTCCATTAATTGGTCGTGCCAAAAATGATCATTTTTATTATCGAAGTGATTATACTGAAATAATGTATGTTGTACAAATGTTGCACTTGTTCACGAATAAATATTTCACTCTCTGTCTTACTGTCTTATTCGTTCATTTCCTCACTTAAAATACCTTCCCTGTATTTTGTTTATTTTGAATAGGCTGTAAGATATCCAATTCAGCTATAGGAAATAACGATGAATGTTTCTTTTTACTCAGAATGAAAATTCGATGGTGTATCA